TATATATATATATATAAATTGCTGGTATTTCACACTAAAAATCTAACTATGCATAGCCTGTAAACCTTTTCCATGCCTCATTTTTCATAAAAGATTGCTAGCACTTACTAAAGAAGGTAGAACCATGATTTAAATTTGTCCATAATCTCACAGAGAGATAAATTCTACTGGTTTGGATTTGGGATCTGTTTTTGTTTTTAATATTCAGACTTTACAAGACACATATTGTTCTACCCCATGTGGTATCTCACTTCTAGCACTGACCAATACTTGACTATACTGAAGCACTTTTAATAACTTGCTGTTATATGTGCCTATAATTTCTGAGTATTAAAAATTTCTATTCAAAAGTTTGCGGGTCATGTTTTTTTGTAAGTACTTTCATTACAGCACATGAGTTAAATCACAAGATCAAAGTTGGTGTTCATTTCCAGGGGTCAACATCAAATATGTTTGTGTCTCAGAAAAAGATAAGGATGAAATTAGTGATTTTCCAACTTGTAATAAACTGACATGTTTTACAATGACATTTTCTCTGATATCCTTGAATGCTAGAAATGTACAAGTGACACGCATTGCTTTCCTAAATATTCACTATATGCCACAAGAATGCCAGGTTTGCTTTTTGAAATGTTGATATGAGTGTATTTCCTTGGGAAAAAAAACAAACAAACACAAAAACAAAAAAACCCACAAAAAAAACCCCAAAACAAACCCAAACAAACAAAACCAAAAACCAGCAGCCTTAAATTATTCCCCAGGAAACATCCATTACAGTGATCATCAATTTCTTTGAGGGAACTGGTCCTGTCAATGTATTCCAGGAAAGGTGGAAGGGGACCCATAAGCTCAAGACCTAGGGGACATTTGAAATTGGATATTCAAGACAAGCGACATTAATGGACTAAGACAAGGGTAGATGTAGAAATTCTTGGCGGTTCAGTATTAGTATGTCAGAGAGTATTCTGAACTTCAAGCAGATGACACTAAACTAGAATATAGACCAAAGCTTTCTTACTTTAGGATCAGTGGAGAAGGCATCTGTTAGAAAGGTTAGAATAGAAAATGGCTCAGAATTTTACTTTGGAGAAGTTTCTGGAATTTTAGCAGTGTCCTAAATTGCAGACTTATGGAGCCAGATCTAGTAGAAGAGTACAGTGAAAAGAAGACAATTTGTGCTGATGGGCTGATGGTTCCCTCCTGCAGATTATGATAATGATGTTACCTATAGCTAGCCAGTATGCTGCAAAACCTCATATGTAACAATTAAAGATGAATTACAGAAATTTGTCCACCAGGAAACTGAAACAGAACTATAGAACTAGGACTTTCACATCTTTCCCTATGCTGAAAGATACAGCCTTGTATGCTGACCATATCAGCGACATGGTATCTCTCTAGACAGGCTTCTAACATGCATTTCCATCACAGGCACAACACCCTGATAAAATAAAAATCAGAAACTTAAACTCTAATGATACGTTAAAGAGAAGCAGAGAAAAACAGCCTTTCCTTCTTCCCAAAGAAACACTTCTGGGAGGGAGGGGTAAGGGAATTTAGGGGGAAAATGGGATTAGGAGAAAGCATGAGGAAGGAGTTATTACATGAGATAATACTTTGTGGAACTGGAAGTAAAACAACAGAAAATTTAGAAGAAATGGCAAAGGAGGACAAAAAATTATGTGGGTTGACAAAATTTCATGTGGGCTTAAAAGTTTGAAGGCAAAATACTGATTTTAAGGCAAGAATATTAAAAGGAAACAAACAAAAAAAGCTATGTTTGTATACAGAACATACTCTGTGAGTACTGCTGCACCAAAAAAAAAAAAAATTCTTTACAGTGATACAGATACTCATAAACACTCCATGTAAAGGTGGATATGCACATACAATTCCCTAACAGAATATTAATCAACTTGATGTATAATCATTAGTAAACATTTCAGCAATCTTAACTGTTAGCACAGAACAAAACCATTTGAACAAAAGCAAATGTTAAAACAAACACCAAAGCATACAGTTAAGAATTGATGTATTAAAAAAGAATAAAAATATACTATACCCTTCTCAGATCTCTTCCAACAAAGACTTATGAATTAACAAAATTTACCAGTGTAAATCCTATTTTATTAAAGCTGGTGGTACTATCATAAACATTCACACTTGTCTACTTGATTAGGCTTCAAAAAATCCCAGTTTTATACTACAATTAAAGGTGGTAAACCCTGATTAAGTTGAATGAGAAATGACTTGGAATTTGTGAACAAAATGCAAACCTTTTCTGGGATCCAAAGTGAGTGTTAAATTTTGTTAAATATAGACATGATGTGAACTGGGCACTGTATTATGTTGTAAGTATTCTCCTGTCCTTTGACCAAGAACAGGTCCCTTACATTGCTGGGTTGTCCCCAGGTAAATCAATCTCTTGAACATGTTTTCACATTTCTGTCCCCACCTTTTGGTTTGCAATGTAAATGTAACGGATCACAGAAGCAATATTTTTGCTCAATCTGTAAGTACACCCTGAAAAAATCTTCCTATAATTCTTCCAGATTTCATGAGATTCACTCCTTCTTAACATTCAGAAAATGATATCAAGAAATTTGTTCATTTCAGAAACACAAAGCATTTTCTTAAATTTCATTTTTACTTGCTTTTTAGGCAGAGGTTTATGGTAAGCATTAAATAATTCTAGTTCTGTGCAATAATCTCCTCATTACTGATGGAACTGATTTTTCCAAACTGTTATATCTCTCATTCATACTGTTTATACAGATGCATTTATATTTCATACATGTTTGCACTGTGTTATTTGATATGGTCAGAACAGTGAAATGGTCATAAAACACTGTTGGAAATGGTGGAGTACTTCAAGTGGACTTTTGATGTATTTAAGTTTAATATACCCCAAGAAAATTAAATAAACAAACCATGAACTTTTGTATTTTCAGTAGATTTGTTGCTAACTACTTAAAAGGTAACTGTTGATACAGTTAATTGCAATGTAAACAATTTCATGAGGCTATTAGCAAATTAGGTGGGGGTTTTTTAAACTTATATACTAATGTTCATAATTGTATTGATTTAAGAGCTGTACTTAACACAGACCAAGATATTTTCAATAACAAACCATGTTTACACTGCTCAGGTACTCATCAGTAATTGATGTGATTCCAAATACTTGCTATGCAGTGTGCTTTTTTTCAAGTCATGTTAAATAAGCCAGTATAGGCCTATTTTCATATATATATTTCATAATATTATGTATTTCCTCATAGCTAGTTTTTTATTTTTTATGTAATATTTCTATGAAATAAGAAAATTTGGACAACAGATGTTTGTATCTACCATCTAAGCAACAAAAAATTTAGACCAAAATTTTGTGAAAATCTCATACAATTAAATCCTGCATTTAACTACACAAATTAAAAATAATTGCATGTTTTCTCCAAGACTACAGAAAATGGCAGCTTTTAAAGGAGTATTAAGTTGCTCTGAGACTTCTTAGCGCTACACTCTTCTTGAATCTGTTCTAAGAAGGTTTAAATGTTACAAAACACCTTTGATCCCAACAGATTAAGTCATTATCTATTTTGCATTTTTAAATACTTGTATTTACCTTTAAGCTGGTGAAAGATTATTTTCTTTGGTGATCATATATGATAATATTTTTCCAAACAGAAAAGAGTTGATACTAAAAGAAAATCATGAGGATTTTTGTATGTGCACATCCATACCTGAGCATTAAGAAGTTCTTCACATTTGTGAGAGTGTTTTTCAATTGCTAGTATATACTGTTTTTCAGTAGCTGCTTCTTGCTGTTGAACTGTAGATTGCAGCAGTGCCTGCAAAAAGAAAGCACAGAATATTCAACAAAGATATAACTAGGATGTTTTTGGTAACTGCAGATCTACTAATACTTGTGTAAAACCAGAATGTGGAATGCTGTTATAAATTTGGAATGTGCAACTTTTAAAGTATCTTTCTATGTAACACTACCTTGTTTTCAGTCAGGACTAAAATTTTTTTGGATCTCCGATTTCTTATACACAGTCTGCTCAAGAGAGTAGCACACAGAAGATAGAGAGGGAGAGTATTTCTGTTAAATATACTCAGTTTACTAGGACCACACAAGAAGAGAAGCATATGAAAGCTGCTGAAGGGGAAAAAAAAAAATAGAAGAAAAAAAAAAAAGCCAGACATATTTCCCTGGCTGACAAAACTCCACATCCTCTCGGCACAGTGTAAGATCCCATGGGCCAAGCATGATCTTCACAACCACAAGTCAAGTAAAAGCAGATGGAAATTCTGAGTAATTTAAAACATAAAAGAATGCCCCCCCAGGATGTTCACACTCAAATGTGAAGCAGTGGAAGTCAGAGTGTGGAAAGTCAAAGTACCAAGACAGTAAGAAAAAGTTGGTAACATTGGGAGTGGTTTGTGTGTGTGCATGTGCACATGCACTCATGTGTATTCACATGCACTTGACTGAACTCTACAGTATTTCTAGGATCTGAACGCAAAAAGAGAAATAAAAACAATTAAGATATGTTAAAAACCAAATTACTATTTCAAGAATTACACTCAAGCTTCCTTAAGCAATGATGGTATTTTAATGCAGGATTTACTTAACTCATGCTATGCAAGTCTTTTTTCCTAATTTTATAAAATATTTATGTCACTTTCCAAATATTCCTTGGGCTATTTATATGCAATGTAGCAAACTATTTTTAACTAGTAATCAGTATAGTCAAGTAGTTGAAATAACTGTGTAAGTTAAAACAGACATAAGTTTTATAGAAAACAGACCTTTGGCCCAAATGCAGACAAAGAAAAAAAATTCTGTCTTTCAAACAATCTTTATTTTAGAGATATATTTACTTCATGGAACAAAACACACATTAAATACAATTTTGAATACTTAAAAAGAACAAAAATGTATTCAAAAAAACTCTTCTGATAATTTCTGAACTACCTTTCCAAATTTTCTGCTAATTAGACTCTTATGCCAAAATCTATGTTCTTCAGCAATGCTATAGTATAGAGTAGCTTTCAGCACAACTTCAGAAAGATTGAAAAAGTAAAAAATGGTTCTTCATGTATACTTTAATCAAAGTGTAAGCATACATTTCCTAGTGTTTGCAGGGGATTTTGTTAGCCATAAGTTTTCTTTCATAAAAGCCAATTTCTTTTCAACTAAATAACTCTCAAAGAAGCATAACTTCTGTGCATGAAACTTTATGTGCTAAATCCTAACGTGTGTAAACTAGAATTGCCACAAATCACTGGCAAAAATTAAGTCTGTACTTTGGAGTATGGGGTTTTTTTTGCCTAAACTATCGTGACAAAAAATTGTTTTATATAATGGGCACAAAAGAAAAAAAAAATCAAGTTCTGATCTTAGGGAAGAGAGTAACAGAATGGTCATTAAGCTGCAATGCCATTTCTTAGGTAGCTTCTTGTTCACACCAAGGGTTGAATCACTTTATGCATTTTACTGCGCAAATTTAACTGGCAACTGTTAAATTCCTATTAAATGTTCCTTTTCTATCACACATGCTACTAATAGAGTTTAAATAGTACTACAAAATTGATCTTGTAGTTGACTATTCCACTAATAGCCGAGTAAGGAGACAGAGAAAAATCCCCCTATGTGGCATAGCACTTCAGAGATACCTTCCATATTGTGCCATAAAAACATGTCCAGACAAAAACTTTTATTTTCTATAGAGAGTAGCAGAAGATCAACCACTCAAACAGGCCTCTAAAATACAGAATGAATTATTTATGCCAAGGCCCAAATTTTTTCAAGTCAAGATGAGGTATGTCACATAATACCCTGAAATAGCAATAACTCCTTAGTATAAGATTTCCCTTTTTAAGAGGAATCTGAAGTTTCTCAGAATTTTATGGTTTTAAGATATGCTTACAATCAAAACAGAATGCTGAGCTCTAATTTATTTTAAAGTGTAGAATAATTTTATTCTTACGAGAAAATTTTTGTGCTCACGGCTGATAACTGTCATTATTGTCAGATAAGACACTTTTATAAAACAGAAAGTCTACTGTTCTGAAATATGAACAGAAAACTCTAAGAGAATTGGCATGACTAGACAAATATATCTTGCCCTTTAAATTATTCTTAATTTATCATTGAAATAATGTCCAATATTTAATAAATTATCAAAAATAAGACAATTTTTAAAATAAAATAAAAGACAGATTTGATAATTTCCTTTAATTCTAATCTAACATGCAGCTGTTGCCTAGGACACTACTATGTTCACTACATCTATACTATATCTGCCTGGCTCCAGCTGACTATAAAAAGTAAATATGAACATAAAGATGTCATAAAACAATATCTTTCCAAGATTGTAAAAAAAGACAAAAACAAATAAACAAACAAAATAGAGTTAAAAAAAATGAGTTCACAGCCATCATTTACAGTTTCTTGATAGGGTAAATACAGCAGAGATGCATGATATTCATCCAAAGCTTTTGCAGATTTCAAGATAATCAACTACTTAAACTACATTAATTAAAATTAAAAATTATTAATTAAAAAAAATAAAAAATAAAAAAAAAAGTGTGGCTGCTCCAAATGAATGCTCCAAGTAACAGGACTTGTAGGATGACGACAGCAAACCAAGTCTTCTCAAGCTTAACTATCAGAAACCTTCAAAACCATTTAAGAAATCCTGTTTCTTCCCTTCTTTCTCATCTTTCTCCTAATCCAAAACAGCTATCTGAGAATTGATCCTACTTTTCCTTCACTAATCAAAAATGTCTGGTGGCTTCTGACAGAACAAGGAGAACAAGTTAAGAACCCCTTAAGAACAAGTTCTCTGAAGAGTCTCCATATCAATTTCAGTTTTATATATGATGAGTTATACAAATCACAGAAATTATAATTTCCTCAAACCATTACCAAAACCTTCTCACATTTAAGTGACAGTGCAAAACATTTTTAAATTAGTTTGCAAAAAGATTAAAAGTGAATCCATCTTAATTCTATAAACTGGAATTTTACCAAAACAGAATAAAACTCAGCTAAGTGAATTAATCCAAACCCCTGTGTGAGCTCAGATAAAGAGCTAATGTAAGCTTTAAGTTTCATACATTGGAATAATTTTGGAAGACCCTGAAGTGAAACTACATCCAAACATCATAATAAGAACTTTATCCACAATCACCTTGGGGTATCCTTAAGGGAATAGATACCTTAATTATTATGCATTAGCAATGGTTAGAGAATTAAGTAGTCCTGGAATGTAATTGACAGCATGCTACATGTACTGTGGAACACTAGAGAACTGCATCACTGTATATAGATTAGAGATGGCAAAAACTGTACTGTACCCAATCTGAGAAGAAAAGTTTAAAGATCACAAAATACAAATGATCACAAAATTTTATCCTGTATTTCTATAGGTTGTGCTGCATATAGAGTACTAGATGCTTTCTATAATTTGTCCTCATCCTTGGAAAGGCAAAAGTGCAATGATTAAGATTTTGCCAAAACCATAGCACAGCCACTCCTGCCCATTTTTAATGCAAACTTATTTGCCCAGCCCTAATGCATACTGTCTTGATTCTACTAGCAATAGATACCACAGCTGTTTGCCCAGAACAGGATCTATTGTATGGCCAAAACCTAGAATTTATGAGAATCCTTGAATTATATAGTCAAAATATAGACTGTTACGCCCAAATTAATCTCAAATTCCCCAACAGTAACAAATTGCCAAACCTCTTTCTCTCAATTCCCTCTTTTATAGGTGGAAAAAACTAGTCAGAAAAAAAAAGCAAGAAGAAGAACAGAGCAGAGTTTATTATCCCCTCCCATCTCTTCTGAAAAACAATATAAAAGCAAGTCCAATTCATGCAAAAAACAGACTTCTCAGATGTGCAGCATTGTTTGAAATGTTAAACAAACTCACACGAAACATCAGTATGAAAAATGCATCATGATGCATAGGCTGCTGCATTATGGTCTATAATGTTACCTCATCAAAACCCTTAGTCAATCCAAAAGAATATTCCCTGACTTCTTTCTCCTGCTCAAGCATCATTAACTTGCTTAAGTAAGTAAATACAAGCCAATACATCAAACATCATCTTTACTGCAAAATTGCTGAGTCAGGATGGCCATAAATCATCTTTAAAAATAAAGTTACCTATTGAAAAGTAAAGTTACCATACTACTTCAAACATATGAACTATATTAAACAGTAGCATTAACTTCAGCAACAGTATATAAGAATTTCTGTGCTTCATAGCACCAGACAATGATTCATCTAATTCAGCATCCTGTCTCCACCACTAATTAATTCTACTACTTTATTTAAGGGTAAAATATACATAACTAATAGTTGAATAATAAAACAGAGCAGAGGGGACAATCAAAATTCTTTCCTGACCCTTGGAGAAGGTACACTAACTCAATTAAATGTATTATATGACTGGTAGTGTTATAACTCAGTTATTACATTTTAGAATGTATTTTTCAACAGAATCCTACTTATCCACTTCAGCCCAAGATATGGCATATTTTCATGATCAGGCTATTTTCAGGTGAGCCTCCCTTTAAGTGAAAATGAAACATGTCCATCTAGGTGCAATAAAGGGGTTTTTTTATACAAGTGAATATTAACCAAAATGAAAGCAATTAAACTACTGCTTAGGTCAGAGTCAACTTGCAATTTACAATGAAGTACGTTCTAAATTAAATAAAAGAAAATGTTGAGTAGAATTTCCTAATTGTTTCCATTCCTAGTCATAGCATGCTACTAAAGCTTTAAACAGAGCTTGTGCTATGAAATTTTACATATCAAGTCAAAAA